GGATTTAAAGTGTTTTTTCCCCACACATGCAGAGGGAAAGAGAAAAATACCGGTTAATCCGTTTTTCAGCGTGGGGTGTGCTGTTAAAAGAGAAATTTTTCCAGAATCCGGCCCGATTCTCTCACAACCGAAATCGAAACGCAACCCAACCGAAAATACATTATGACCCCTTTTAATTTGGCGGCAGTAAATCCCCCATCTCCCATTTCTTCCCTTTCCAGTTTTCCCGGTTAATTCTTTTAGCTCTCGCCGACGGAGCTGTGCTTTCGAGAGGCGCCCTCCAGATTTTATTGGCCCATTAGAGGCGCGTTCGGTTTAACCGAATGGTCGCCTTATTAGTCGCTACAAATCGCCAACCGAAAATGTACGGGCTTAAGTTTTATATTTTCAATGCTTCCCTTGGGGTTATTTGGGAAGATTATCTTTAAGTGGGTGAAAAAAGGTGCAAGCAAAATAGTTATCATCATTAAAGAAAATTATAATCTCTTTAAACGAAAAATTTTTAATCTAATAAAGTATAGAACTATACTTAAAAGTATATACCTATACTATACTATAGGTATATACTTTTAATTTCAAAATATCAATTTTTAAATGGAACTCTGCTAGAAAATCTTCCTTCAAACAACTATAATGGATCAAAAAATGATTATGTAACCTTAAATAAATGCATGGCATAAAACTTAAATTATGTTTCAAATATTACGGTGCAATACACAAGCTATTACATAACCTTGATAAAATGATTATATTATAATAAAATAATTAAAGACGGTAAATTTAATTTTCAATTTTTCAATGTAACCAAGTGAGACCAACCGTAACGTAGGATTTTAATTAATCCTTTTTCGACCTTCCTACCGCTTTTCGTGGGAGGGTTGAATCCAACCTTCTCTTAGCTACGCGCCCTCGTTACATCGAATGATTAATGTTTCCCGTCCGAGAATTTTTGAACTCGTTCGCGCTAGTAATTAATTAGTAAACGTGATATTTCTTAATCTCGCCGGATTCCCCATCGAACTGCCTTTATCATTTGATTAGTTCGGTGTCTAAATAATGAACTCTAATCTCGTTATCAAAACGTCTCATTATAAAGAAAGTAAAAAAAAAGAGATGTCTCATTTTTTACATTGAGGGTTCATTTCGAGGTTGTTAATGAGACCACGAATGACGGTTACTTGATACAACATGCCGCTTTCGCTTCAGTCCACTCTTCTCTTTTCGAGTCCCTTCCCTCTTTGCGATGCGCTGCCCTCTGGGCGCAAAATGAGAACCTATTCAAGCAAATGTAAGCCGAAACCGCCGTTAAGAGCGATGGTCCTCTTGCACAACTGAGTGTGCTAGCTCTGTGCGGTAACTAAACAGGGAGTTTGCGCAAATATTTGTGTTCGGACCGGCAACTAGTTTTCCGTATACTCGAGATCAAATTTTCATATACGATGTTATATTATTACAAAAAGGTGATTTAGTTTCAAGATATTTTGCATATAGTGGTGGCGCATTAATTTATATTCATGTATGCCTATGGGCTGATATGAAAATTTATTCTTTATTACACCTTTAACAGTTGTTCATATTTTTATCTTAGAATTTTTATCTAGAACGAAATAATTATTTTCTACACTTTAAAAATTATTTTAAAGGGAATCTATACAAAGAGTGGAACAAAAGTTTGGAAACATTTAATTTTTTTGTCACTTCATCACTTGATATTAATTCAATATTGGAGTGTTAAATGACTAACATTTTTACACTTATCCGTTAAAAATGACAGAAACAACATCAAATTAGATCAAATCATCAAAATTTGAATGGTGCAAAACTAGTCGATTCTAAGGACAGTGGAATCTAAAAGGATTGGAAAATTCATTGTTATTCTGCGTCATCCAAAAAATGACGTCATTAATGGACCTCCACGTCACACCAAGTTCCGCTTAGTTAGCTATTGTTGTCTTTGCCGTGTGTTGTAGAAGATTAGTCGCAGATTTATTTATATTATATTTATTTTTAAACGAAATTTATTTTGGAGTGATTTTGGATCATAAAAAATAAAATCATAGTACATGCAGACGTTATGTAATAAAATGTAAAAAAGCTAAAGTGGAAGAAGATGTTAATTGAAGAAATAAACTCGTCTCTCCATTTGGCGAAGTGGAAGCATTTTACACCTCGCTAAAAAACAAAACTGCCCAGGGCTAAAAATGAACATAGCCACATATGCTTCTTCCGGAGATATATTTTTGTACTATTAAGTAGATAATTTAGAACTGCTATAGCTAAAATTATGTATTGGTTTCTGTATTACTAACAGAATTATTAGGGCAATTTGGACAAACGAGTTGGAAAGGTACATTTGGCGAAAAGTACGTCTAAGAAATTCACAGTAGCAGAAATGAGTCAGAACTGTTCTGCACATTTTAATATATTAATAACTGAAGGTGTTCAGACTTAAACTGTGACACTTGATTAATTTAAAATTTTCACTGTGTTGACTCGTATGGGTCGACATCTTGTTTCGGTTTAACGCCAAATCGATTTTTCGATAACTTTCGAATTTTGCCATAACAATATCTCAATTATTAATGCATCTATATTAAACTTCTAAGTACTTACCGATAGCTTATGGAATACACTGTATAATGGAGTTAGGTAATTAAGCGTGTGTGACCATATGGGAATACACCAACAGTAATAAAATTAAACCTGGAAGTCTTGCAGACTTAAGATAACGAATTATCGATGAACCACAATTAGTTTCCAGAGAATCATGGATGAATGTAATAGACGCAATTTGCCATCGATTCAACACCAAATTAACAACGGAGCACATTTTGAACACTTAATTAAGTAGGCATTATGTATTTTAGTACTTTACACATGACACATCAGACTATATCAAATGTTAAGTGTTAGATATGATTAAATTCGGAGTGTAGAAGTATTGAAGTGTAAATTGTAATAATGAAACAATATAATATTACAAACAGAACAACATAACTCAAAATAACGTATAAAACACTTTGTATGTATTTATTTATTTAATAAATTGTAAAACTAGCTGTACGTGGTCAAAATGCATATCATTTATGTAAAATCGTAATAAGATTGTGATATAAATTCCAAGTACGGAAGGGAAATTCTCCAGAGAAACGTCACGGACCTGTCAGATAGAATTAACGATTCGCTACATTTAATTACGCTAACCCCTTCCGCCATTATTACCATTAATATTGCCTTGCCTTGTGCGGAACCCCCCAAGCTTCGTAGTCGTCGGCGTAGTCTACGTTTCACCTGGCCCTCCCAGACGCAGATACTTTCAGCACTATAATTCAATTTCGAGTTTAATTCGAGCTGCGATTACCCCTCTTCCTTTAAAATTTATTTTAGGTATCTCGAGTACCACGAACTTTACGAATCACCGTTACACCCTTTTCGTTGTAATTAAGAAACGGGGAATAGGAAAATGTTTCTTCAAGCGAAAACGAAAATTATTATACTGATGAATTTTTGGGTTGCAAATTTAGTTGTTTATTTAACCGTAAAATCCGTTTCGTATATTCCTATACATATTTGTTGTTAATCATAGCGGATAATTTGTTACTATGTGGGTGGATTTCGAATTCAGTTGTGGCTAATTTTAAACGGCCACAACAAATGAAATTAATGTTGGTGCGAACGTATTTTGACGAGTTCGCCGAGAGTTTGTAAATTTGAGGGAGAGTTTGGAAAACTCCTAATTTGCTCTCTCACACAGGGTAGTTGCGGTTCGCGAACCCCGCAACGTTTTAATTACCGCGGACGGTCGCGCGATCTGCGTAATTATTCTAATTAACAGACGCGGTGCCTATTGTTCCGTAGTTGCAGTCCACGATTTTATCCGCATTATTTAATTAAAGATAAACGCGTACGCTCCCGAATCACGGGAATGCACGAGTTCGCGGCACCGTTACATTTTGTATTTTCCCTCGCGCGTCGTGGTACACTGCATTTTCAGGTTGTTTATTGCATTAGATCCGTCAACGGTACAATGAGCTTTCAGAATTTATCTAAATCCAAATCCAATTACATTACATTTTTACGGACTGTTTGGTATAAATGTATCAAATATATTGATTAAAGAGAAAGCAATAAAATTATATTAACAGCACATTAAACTAATTAGTTTAATTATGTTGTTCTTTTAAATAGGCCTAATTGGAAATAAATTATTTCTGAATTAAATTAAATCTGTTTGGGTTGGTTTCGTTTTTTGAAGTTGTCGTTATTTTAATTTAATTGGGTTAGAAACTTTTTTAAATGTTTTTAAATCGATTTATTATTATCACTCAACTCTAAAATGATATAGTCGATACCATGAGAAACGCGAATGACGCATCAATTATGAGAAATTCGCACTTCTAGTGATATGGACTATATTCATGATTAATAAATGAAATATAATATACTGTGATGTTTTACTTGTGAGTTTTTACACAAGTTATTAAACTATAAATTTGGGTTTCTTTAATTTTAAGAGACTCTTATTAAACTCAGGGTTTAGGGCAAGTTCAGGTTCAAAAAGAAAATTAATCAGGTTCGACAAAAATTCATTTAATTAAACACAAAATCAAATTAACTCGTTTTATGAGTAACAAAAAAAAATTGTTTTCCTAAATTTACTTTAATAACAATGCTTATTTACGAGAGATAACTTTTAAATAAAATAGATAACTGCGGTTATCGACTGAAATATCGATATTAGAGAGAACCCGTTTATTATTTGAGAGAGAGAGAGTAGGATAAAACCAAGGTTTATATATAAGAGGTTGTCTAGGTTCGTACGCAATCATACTGCGCATTACGTCACATGTGGAAAATAATACCGCCAAGCAATTCAAATTAAACAAAGGCATGGAGCACCACCTGGCCATGAGGTTGCGTGCGCAATCCGTGATCGCTTACGTCACGAAACACTCCTGCTCTTGCCCCTCGCCCACAAACTAATATCAAAGTATTGCAGCATAGGAACTTAGACAACCTTTAATATATAAACCTTGGGATAAAACTCGTTAGAACCGTTCTTTGAAAATAACAGATGGCCGACGTCTTAAGTTGTCATCAAACTCGTTGAAGAAAAATAGAGTTAAATAAATGAACGTTATTCAAGAAAACTAATAAATCTTTACCCACAAGTAAGTATTGATCAAAATTATAGGAAACTCTTGTGAGTTGTTCTTTAAGTTTGATTCTTTGATTTTTCTTTTTGTAGGTTATGTTAAATAAGAAAATAAAATTATCATCCGACTCACTGCGAAAAAGAAAGGATTGGAGTTCAATGTGGTATCTGGATTATGGATTGTCTCTTGTGTTCGGGCACTAACTAATTTTCTGGATTGTCTACAGGATTCTTCTTACGGGAAATTGAACTGCTTGTTCTTCGGAAATAGGGTCTTGGATGATCTCGAAGAAGTATCAGTAGTTCTCGGAATAGGTTGTAGGATGATTCTCTTTTTATTTTAATATCGTAAGTTGATTTGACTTTAAAAAATTATCTTAAATTTTTGAGGTTATCTCTTGAGATTCAAAATTTCTTCTATCTGACGACATGGATTTGATGCTGGTCAGACGACGACTCTTTCAATCCCTGTTCGCGATCTCCTTATATACCCCGGCACTCCAACTGTTTTTTCCTCGTTTCTGATTGGCTCTTAACTTCGCGCCCTTTTCAAATTCAAAATTCTTGCTTCGAAACTAGCGTCATCTCTTGATTTTTCTCGGAATTAACCTTCAAAATTAAATTCTTTTTTCGTTGATTTCTCCCTTATTCCTTTATGAAACGTAATAAAACTTCGTATTCAACGCTGTCTTTTCTTGTTTTCAGACATACATTGGAGTACACGCCAAATTTCAACAATGAGTAAAGTTAGAAAAATTCAAATTTAAATCAAGGATTTCTTCCTCAAAATAACGTTAAAACCTCAAAAGATGGATGAAAAATGTGCTTTAGGAGCTGAACTATAATAATTGATACTATTGGAAGCAAACAAAACGGTTTAAGATAAGATTTTCAGCAACAAAAAATCTCTCTGTCACAATTTCTAGGTTATGTTCTCTCGGTGAACTAAGAGAATGTTAAAATTATCACAATACTAATTATGCTTTATTATATTATACTGTTATAATTTCACTATCTCCTAAAAATTCTACTCGGAAGTATTTGACATCTGTTAATCAATAGTTATGTTTATAAGTCAATACAACCTTAAATAGAGTTAAATATCGATGAAAATGAGTAATTTTTGGGAGTCGTTCTCTGCAACTTTTGTACAAACAGGGAAAAATGGTAATCGAAAACGAGTTCGATTCAAAAAAGAACAGACGCAGCTACATAAAGGCCGAATCAAACAACTACATCAAAATACGTGCTTATAAAATTGCTTTGTAGTGAATCAGATACAAACAAAATGCCAACAAACAAACAAAAGGAACACTTATACAAGCACTAACAAAACCAAAAAAATAAATGAATTCTCCCAATCAACATGGATACACGCACACAGCGATAAAGTGAAGGAACTAAATAAAGAATTTTAATTACATTTTATTGTTATTCCACAAAACAACATATACCCCGCTTTGAACTGGCAATAAAATTAAAAGAAAACACTTTTGTATTCAAGAATTCAGAATCAAATACAATATTCATCGGATATAATTTATAATGCGAAAACAGAATTGAGACTTGACCGCAAAGATCGATCGCTATTATAAATATATTAATTCCCGCATAACTAACAAGCTAACACTCAAAGTCGAAATTATGCCTCGGAATGCAAATGCTGTACATAAAATGGTGAAAGGTTATTTCACGTTGAAAATAATTGTAAATGACGCTCCTCCAGTGACATTAATTACGTATGCGAGAAGTTTAGCTTTTGCCCACACAATCCAAAACAGGAATGAAGCAAAAAAAAAACATAGAAATATTAGATTAAATGCACTGCAACTTTAACAGAAACGCGTAAAGTAGACGGGATAGAACATCGACGAATTCAACAAACGAAAAAGTTTGAAACAAATTTTGATGTTTTGGGTGCCATCTTGCAACCTTCTTCAGAAGCAAGTTCGAGGTTAACTACCAGGACACAGGTAGGCGAAGAATATGATAATTCCGTCGCAAAAGAAAACCAAAGATGTTTTATCCCTCAGCAAAGAGGACCTAAGGTTGCTCTCAGGTTTCCTGTCCGGCCATACACCCCTAAAATACCACCTCTTCAACATTGGACAAGCTGAAGAGCAAATTCTATGAACATATTCTATGTGAATGTGTCGCCGCAGGGCGCCTAAGACACAACATTTTCGCCTGATACCTACTGACATAAAGGAACAAGACCTTGGAGCAATACTAAAACATGTTAATGTCAATAGTTTTTTGTCACAAAAAAAATAATTTTTAAATACATACAACGATATTAGAAAGTCCTATTTATAAAAACCAAAGTGAAGACACCTGGAAATCCGTGCAGAAATGAGCAGTTTTTTTACACTACATTACTTATTTTTAGTAAGACTCTTATTCGAAGTTTCAAATGAGGTGGGATATGTGAGTTTTCAAGACGTTGATTATAAATGGCTCTATCAACTGACAGCTAATCTATTCAATATAGTAGCGTCTTGTAAGTTTAGTGCAGAAACTGGGAAATCATTTGGGGTTCATTGGTTGGGTGAAGCACCGTATCCAATTGATGGATCACATGAGTTTCAACAAGAACCCAGGAGTGTTGCTATGAATATTATCCGTAAGTAGCTTGATTATATGGTCATTCTGCCGCCCATTAGTCTTTATCGCTAAGTCTAACCGAGGTGCTTGGTTCATGTTTTGCAATACACGTTGACAGTGAACTGTAGATCAGTGCAAATAGAATATCTGGAGCGACAAATCAAAGTCCAACCTAGAACCGTTTGGATAGTAAGGTCTGGATCTAGCCTTAGCTGAGAAAACACTTCCTGCCCGAATGTATTGTGCCAATAGTAAAGTTTAGCGGAATTGGGCTTATATAGTTTGGGCATATGCTTACTGCATGTTCGAAGCCCAGAACCCTATTGAGAACCTCTAGGACTAATTGGATAGCCGAGTTAGGAGGTGCAACAATCATCCCAAATCGGCGAAAGAACTTATGAGTTTTCTCTAAGCCGAGTAGAAGAAAATATCAGAAGTCATCATACAAATACTTGAGGAAAGCATGCTAAGGAGGTTTGACTTTACATATAAGTAAATCCATTAAAACTAATTTATTTAGAAAAGCTCAGGATTTCCTTCATAAAATCATTAGGTACGTTTACAATAAAAATTACGAACATATATTTATTAGAACATAGTTTGCATGTTATTAAAACAACCCAAAAAGTATGTTTTTTACCTTTCTAAAAAATAAAACAACTTGAAAAAGTAAACCCATTCATTATAAATCCATTAAGCTTCAATTGATGGAACAGCAACCTTTTGGTAATTTGAAAATCGATTTTACCTATACACGAATATTACAGTCCTTATTCACAAAGTAATAAAACATAAAAGAAATTACGTTGCGCCCTTTTACCGAGGTAATAATAAATAAATAGATAGTATAAATAAATAGTTTGTTTAAAAATCTATATGGTTTTCAATTATTAACAAACGTCCTAGTTTTATGAAAAAAATAACTCAAAAACATCGACAATAGATCATAAAAACATTACCAAAATGAAACGATCGCTACCGTTGCGAACAAAAGCAATCAATTAATTTTTAATTAAATTGATACGTCCCCGACTGCCGATACTGTCAAATGGCTAAACGTTTATTTTCGACAATCCTATATTTCTCGATTCGGAAAAGGTTCGAATTCGATTTTAAATGTAATAAACTGCAAAAACTGCATCGCATATTACACGGCGTCGAATATAAAACGAACCGTATTGTTTACAATCGTGAGTGAAAAATATTTGGTTACAAATGAAAATTAATATTAATGAATCAATCTGTAACAATAACTCACAGAAAAATTTTGAAACGACCATTTATGGAACTGTGTATACATTATTCAACTATTCATAATCATCTTAAATCAATCCCAAATTAAATCAACCTTCTACCTTGGAGAAACGTCCAAAACCTATATCCTTAATTTACCGTTAAAGTGTTGTTAACCGACTGGTTGCCGTTAAACCGTCATGAATTTATCATGAGCAGCCATCAGCTCCCCAAAAGGGCCTTCAATCGATGAATATTAATACGAGCCAAGTGAAGCGGCAGCAGTAGCAGGAGGAGCATCAGTAGGCGAAAAGCGCCGCTTTACGTTCGTTAATAGCAGCGAAATCAATTCACCAAGGGCCACCACCGCTTCGAAGAAATCTTCAAGATGCGTCGTTGCGGGTTCCTTGGCGTAAGTTTGCGAACCCGGAAGTCTACTGCTTTAAGGAGCCGTCGTCGCCCATCTCGAGAAAACTTCTTCCCGAACGCGAGTTTCTAGCAGACGGCAATTACGTAAATATAATGTCGACTTTTGCTCTCGGAACGTTCAAGAGAAGGGGGTGAGTTTTTAGGGGGTTGCTTGCGAAAGCTGCGTAACGAGCACGAGGGCGAGAAGGTTATTATTTCCTTTTTTCGTAAAGTTTCAGGTGCGAGAAGTTTTTAAAAAGAACAGGAACGGCGTGACGAAAGGACAACTTGTTCTACTTGTAAAAGTCTAGTTGTTATTTTCTGGCTGCTGATCTTTTCGACGGAAATCAGAAAAATAACTAAAATTGAAGTTTAGTTTGTTCGTTAAGGAATTAATTTTATTATACCGGGAATTTCATATAACTCGCAATATATGAATGCTGTAACTATTGTTACGAAACTACTATGCACTTACACTGTCCCACATAAAATGCAACATAGCTTAATAGTACAGGCATTGGGTAGTTTTGCAAAGGAAAAGTTTTGCTTGGAAAAGGTTACCTCTTTATGATAACTTTGAGTTTCTGTCTTAAGAGACGCACGGCTAAACCCGAAACTTTCTAGTTCTAAGTCTAGTGTTAGTTCTAGTTTTAGTTCAATGAAAATATGCAACATAGTGATTCTATATTACACGGCCAAACCCGAATGTTTCTATTCTAGTTCTAGATCTAGTGTTAGTTCTAGTTTTGCACTATCACTACAACTAACACTAGACCTAGAACTTGTTCTTCTTGCACTTCGAACTTGTTTCTGAAGAAAGTTGCAACATAGCATGCGAAACGTTAAAAATTTTTTCAAAAAACGAACGTCTTTACCCGAAAGTTTCTAGTACTAGGTCTAGTGTTAGTTCTAGTGATAGTGCTAGTGGTAGTTCTAGTTTTATTTTAATTTTTCTTATATTTCAAATTAAAAAAAGTGATACTTTTTAGTGAATAATTTATCGTATGTATTTTATAAAGTGAAATATCTAGTTCTTGGGAATTGTGACGTAAACAAGTTTTAAACTAAATTGAAATCACCTGTCGATACCGAACGTTCGCCCACCGCCGCCACTGTACAAACTTGATTCGGTCGACTATAGTCCCGAAGTCCTGCGGCTTCGTTGAACCCACGGGACTCCAACTTTCGCGGTGTCAAAAAGGTTTGTGGGCGTATGAACGAAAAGGGAAGCACTTTGCGACTGTCGGTACATTATGCAACTTTATATACTTTGGACGTGGAGAAATGTCAATACATTTTTCAAGTTATATTTCTTCAAGAAAAAAACAAATCAAAAATAAAATCTTAAAATAATCTTTAAAAAAAACTTGCGATTTAATTTTTATTTATTTTGATTACAATCGGAAAATAGGAGCTATCCGCAAATTTTATTTTCCGAAAACGGTAGCGGTAAGCGTTTAGTGGTATTCGGTCGTAAATAAAATTTTAACGGTCGGCCGTAAAAACGAGGCGACCAGATCGGATTAAGGCCACCTCTGGCGTGGTCGCCATCGTGTAAATTATTCACGGTACAAAGGTCCTAATTACTACACTTCGGTTATAAAACGTAACTCCGAGCAATTCCCTTTGTGCACGACCAAAAAGAAAATTGTAGATTAAAAAAACCCGTCAATTCCGATCACCTACGATCAATTTCGTTTTCGACTTTCAAAGGTTTCGAAGGGGAAACCCCGATACATCGTCGATATCAGCCTATCTGAACGTTTCTCCTTCTTGGGGGGTTGGTTATTTGGGCAATAAAGTACCCCGCTAATGGTGGGTTCGAAATTCCGACCGTATATCAGACGAAGGGACTCCGCAAAGCTGAGTAAATTTCTCCAACCCCACGTTTGATGAATGAAAGTTTAAAGTCAAGAAAAACACTTTCTCAAAAAGTTTTTAAAAGATATTCAAAGCAGTATAATCATTTTTTTTCTGTATTTATTGTAGGTAGTTTCATCACATATGAACAAAAGTTTTACCATGAAGTAATTCCCATTTTGAATTCAGAATTTATTTGAAGACCCATGCATTTATAAGTTAATCAAAAAGTACCGAATAAATTCGATTGAGTTTGTATTGCAAAGTATTTCCCTTGAGCTGTCTGACCCTTCTCATGTAGTAACATAGGAATCAAATTCTCCAAATCAAAATGTAAAAATTGTATAATTCATTAAGTTTCACTACAGATTAGGTTTTTTCTAGAAGATGCAAAAAGTTTGTTTTTGAGACTATAAAATCTAAATGGCAAAATAAACATAGAATTTTGTGGTATTTTTTGTAGGCTAAATATTACATTATTAATAAAATAATTATGAAGAAGTTGAAGGAGAGAACCCCTAACAATTTAGGTATTAAAAGCAGGAAAGTAAACGGAGTGCATGCTCTGGCATCCTTTTTAATGTCACAAAGAGATTTGAGGATACTGTTTTATCTCAACTACTCCATTTGAAGTTCTGTAAGATCCTCGGATATATCTAGTAAATGTGGTTCAAATACGATTCATAGCAGGAATGTGCTCGTCAAAATCTGAAAATTTTTCAGTATGTGGTTTTCCGAAAGTGCAGTGTATTTTTTTTTTCGAAAAGCTTATGACAAAAGATCAAAGTTTTGCTACATTAAAATTTTTGTATTTCGTCGTAACATCAGATAAAAATGTAATGTTTCTGCAAAATGTTTCATCTGCTAGATCACAATTTTATTTGTCCTGGGTAAAAGTCTAAAATTTATTGTCGTATAGTGAATTGTTATCAAAACTAGACCAGTTGATAGCCAGCGCTCTTCTCGTTTACTATGACGCATTGCATCCAGAGTCCTTGGACAAAAAATGTGGATTTTTCACAAAGACTTTGCTGATGCTAAATGCAGATGCATTATGGAATATTAAATTTCCATTTCCGTAAAGTATAACTTCCACGTAAACAATATCAAATGTTCTATCTGCATGTTTAGCATGATTATAAAGCTTTATATAACATATCATTAACCCTGCAACACACGCACTCATTTTTAGCATGGCTTACAATTGTAATCCATATGTCTTTTCAGTTGTTAAGCAAAACAAAAACCTTTTTATTTAAATGGCATATCATTTTCTTGTGCTTTTGCTTTTTTACTCTGACATACATATGACAATGCCACAATGTGGAATTTCTGGGATAGTTTTCTTTTAGCATTTCATTACTTATTTTCAGTAAGTTTCAGATAAGGTGGACTTTCAAGACATTGATCATAAATGGCTTTCTAAACTGAAAACCAATCTCTTCAATATACTGGCATCTCGAAAATGTTGTTATATAAATCGAAATGTTATTTGATTTATAGAGACAATACATTTATGGCCAAATATTGATCAGGTCAAAAACCACCTTGAGTAGCGGTGGTTTTATGAGTAGTATAATGACGAAAATTTTTGGCAACGTCATACTGTGTGCATAACAAGTCAACTAAATCCATGCCATATTTAGTTTTATTGTAGAATATGATAACTTTCGGTTTTTATTTATCTTCTGTTTCAGGATGAATGTCATCGTTAAGAACGCTCACGATCTTATTTTTCTTATTTTTTTATACACGATACTAACCTGCATTTTTTATCAAAGAACTCAAATAGAGATCTGTTTATTGTCATTTTTGACTATTTCAGGCTGATTTGGCAATTACTTTTTATTTTACAAATAGTTATATATATATATATATGTATATATTGACTTTACTATAACAATTATATATAAACTATACTAAGTTTTTTTGCAATAAGTCTTTGGCGAAAGGGATACTGGTAAACCAGTTCTTCATACAAATATTCCTTCCCGTGCCTTCAAGTGATTTTACCATTCGTTTCACTATATCTGAAATGCTACAGGATATATGAAATGGATTTCCGACGAATATCCGAGTTCTCTCCGTTGTTGTCTAATATCAACATCATCTCATTAAAGAGCGGATTGAAACCATTTATTGATATTGCAAGAAAAATAGCCCCAGTACACCAATACTTCTGCTGCTGTCCCACATATATAAGATATTTTGTCTTCCAAATGTGAGCACACCGTCAATATACAAAATACCCAAAAGTGCTTTTATTTCTTCAATATCTGATAATTTTGCGCCTTTTTGGCGTTGGTTTTTCTGATATATGTATTTGTGC